AATGCGAATTGCGGAGATCGGACACGTCGACTCTCCGAATTGCGAAGCTGGTGCGCGCAGGAGTGCGAATTGTGCAGAAGGTCAACCTAAGGCTCGGAAAGGTCCTATAGGAATCCATTTTAGGCTTCCTCATGTCGGTTTCATCCTTCTAAGTGTTAGAAGTCGATACCGCACACGCGAAACTCCAAAAGAGGACGGAAATAGGTTGAACTAAAACAAGGCGGGCACCACTTCTAAGGTTCTAAGATAGTCGCAGGAAGACCTCTAAGGCTAGATCCTAACTCCTACGAGGAATACTAGACCTCACGAAAATTGAGGTCAACATTAATCCCATACTATTTTGATTAGTAAATTAAAATACCATACGAATTATTTGTTCCATTATCATTCCTCGGTTGACCATGTCTAAAATTGTTTGGTATAATTTCCTACCCTTAAAGCAAATATTTAGACCCGGTAGATCGAGGAATGATAATGGAATAAGTGATGTGTAGGGTATTTTAATTTACTAATCTAAATAGTATGGAATTAATTATGTAAATTACCACTAATTTTGCTAGAATGCCAAATATATCTTATAAATTAAAGTGATTAAGAAAGAATTATTTAGTGTATTTATTTATCAAATAACGATTCACTATCAGAATCTGGTGGTTTGCTTCATAATTTTTTTTAATTCATTTGGTTGATTAATCTACATATTTTATTAGTATAATTTTTGCACTTATGTATGATTTGTCCACATTCACATCGTTGATAAAAGCAGCCGTTTGGAATTAACTCAACATAATGGAGAAATGTTCATGACTAAGATTGTGGACCTTTGCAAGGAAGTGTAGTCTTTAATCTTTATATCTAAAATGGGGTGAGGGACATGGTCAGCGATCGAGTGGATGACAATTTCATTGGAGGAAAGGAAAGCAATGTAACAGAGCATGGAGTGATACGCAAAGCTCCTCAAGAGGAGGAATGGGCCATGCAATCTATCATGCATTGAGTGACAAAAGTGTCTCTTAATATGGTGTTAATTAGGGGCTTGCTAAATGAAATAACTAATCTTTGGAGTTATTAACCTTCTCTTATTGGCTATTGTGTTGTTGTTTCAAGGAAGATTTTTTAATTTTATTGACTTGAGTTAGCGAACATGTCAACTCAATATATTAATTTTTCAAAGATAAAAGAACCATTGTCTTTTAAGAATAGTCTTCCCCTTTATTGTGCTGTTGCTAAGTAGGTTTGAATTGATTTGAACATTATGGAGATTGCTTTGTTAAACGGGCAAAAAAAAGTCTTTTTGGGCTATCCCATATGCATATTTAGGGGAGGTAAGTTGGCTACCTAAGATAGTTTGAAACATTTAGTGGTGGTAAGATTGAACATCGAGGCGGAATATGAATCCGTGATATGCTTTATATATATAATTATATAGGTTAAGAACCTCCTTAGAGAAATTATTTTTATATTGGGATAATTACATAAATAGCAATCAAAACTTATGTATTTACAGAATTAGCACTCATATTATATTTTTGAACTACCGAATTCATGTATTTACACATGCCATGATCAAATCACTAGAAATTTTATCAAGCAAAAAATATGAGTTGTGGGTTTGTTGTGAGTTTTGACAAAATATTAACAAGGATGCCACAGAGGTTTCTTTCCATTAGTATTGAGGTGGCAGATATGAATCGTCACAAAGAATGATTTTATGCTATATATTCAATTGTACTTTTAAATATATCTCTCAGCACTTACGTGCTTGTAGTTATATTATTGTGCTTTTGGTAGCTCCACTAGTGCAACTATTTTTTGATTTAACTGTTGTCATATTTGTGGTTATTTTAGTTAAGTTATGCTTTTGGGCTAACATCTATTGATTCAAAATTTTAATAAAAATCCATGATTGATACTGGCGCACATGTTATTATTAGAATACTATGGAGAACTGTAAGCTGGGATTGGCAACCATTAAGAAAGATAGAGCTGATGAAGGTTCTACAAAGCTTATGGAGGATCAAACGGTACCTAACTATACATAATGTTTTCAAACGATATTTTAATTTTCTCCTAAAAATTTAATCCTAGATGTCCAACCATGTCTTAGAGGGAAAAAGAGGTTGCTCTTGCTAGATTACTTCAGTTGGAGGGACTAGATCAAAAGCAAAAGTTGGAATTTGAAATTGCTCAGTTGAAAGATAAATTAAGAGTTATAGAGCATTATTTACATGGGGAAGAAGATATATACAAGTTTATAGACAAAATTCATAAAAAAGGTGAAGAAGAGAAGAAAGGTTTAGAAGAGTTACTTGACACTCTTTTGATGGACCTCAAGGCCAATCAGAAGCTCAGTGAAGTTCGTGCAGAACTAATTGAGGTAAGGGGCATTATTTCTCTTAAGTATTTTGTTTCTTATTCTTTTGCGCTATTTTGTTTATTTTTTTATTAATATTATTATTAGGGTCTCACAAAAATGTTGAAAGGTCGTGCCTTGATTGGAATTAAAAGAATAGATGATCTTCATATCAAGCCTTTTGAACTTGAATGCAAGAATTTTTCCTCTGAAAATGCCGACTCAAAAGCTTTAGAGTTGTGCTCTAGCTCAGATAAAATTTGCAATCCTTCATGGCGTCCTTCTAAAACCACTGAATGTGATGGACATTTTGAGGTATGGATTTAATTTTGGTATTTATATACCATATTGATGACATATTTGCCCATAAAAATGCTCTAGAGGGATCCAATCCCGTTCTTTGACTTGTTGACTTTCTGAGTAGTTCTAATTAACCCTTTTAGTTTTGATTGGCTATGGTGCAATGATGGTTGACCATGGTCTATTTCTGATGGGCCTTGGTATTCCCAATTCTCTCACTAGCTTCTCCTACCTCTCGGCTGCTAATCAGCATTAACGTATCCAAAATGATATGGCTAAGCAAACTAAGGCTTGATGACCATTGAACTTCTCTTTGGGTCAGTTAGCCATCAATTTATTCGGGACTCTATTCAAGCTTTATAAGACAAATTCAACCATAAAAAAGATTTAGACCCCAATCGATTACTTAGTTTAACTTATTATAACCCCATGTGATTTGGCCTAAAAGCCTAATTAATCTTGGGATGGCCAATTGGTCTTAACCTCCCGCTATTAACCAACAATCCACTCAATCAATTTGAGCATAATTGAATTAAATTTGGTGATATCCCATTGAGCCCAATTTGGTGATAATCTGATCCATTTTTGTTGAAGTTTTGGACCTATTGCTCTCCACATATTACAATAGTGAGGGCACAAATGAATAAGTCAATTATCTTACGTTTGGCTTTAAAAGTTGCTCCTCTTTCTACTTTGGAGCGAAGGGTCAAATGTTATGATGCCTAACTTGCTACAAGTTCCAATCTTCTCCCATCTCTAGAAGTATTATCACATAACTTGTTAATCATTGGTGATGTTTATGATTTATTATAGTTGTGCACAAAACTCATTATGTTACAATTTATTCACCTCTAAAAATGCTCTGGAAGGTTCTAATTCTATTCTTAACTTGGTTTATCCTTAAGCTGTTCTAATCAGCCCTTTTGGCTCTAATTGCTTATAGTGCAATCATGATTGGTCATAGTCTTACATGCAATGGACTAAAGCTTTCCTAATCGTCTGAAGTTGGCTTGTTTTTCTCTGGCTTCCAACTATTCTTAGTATCACTCCAGGCTAATGTGATTGAGCTAACCAAGTTTTCATCAACTTTGTTGAACTTATTTACAAGTTAATCAACTATCACTTTAAGTCTCTAGTTGAGTTCAGGAATTTAATTGAAACATAAAAAATGTTGAACACATAGTTATCCCTTTATGACCCACATGACTTGGGCGAAAGTTAATTAAGCAATTGACAACAGTTTAAGCTTAATTTCTCACTCAAATCTGACATTTGTTCTATAGATTTGAACTTAATTTACTCTAATTTGGTTATTTCCTTTTTATTGAACCCATTTTGTCCGTTAAATCTACATATGGTTTATTATTTTTAATAATATTTGATTAATAAGAATTAAATCTCCAAAATTGAGCAATCCCTATCAATTTGATGAGGTAATATTCCTAATACTTCAATTTGACTAATTATCTCATTTGAACTGAACTAGTTCACAGATCGTCATTTGAACTAATTATTGAGCTATTAGGACTCAATCTTCTAATTGATGTGCCCCCTAAATCACGACTAACCTTAATTGCTTGATGACTATCCAATTTCATATGCCAAAACATTTAACTTTAGCTGTGAGTTGGGACCGGCATTGGGATCAATTAGTTGGCTTATCCTACATGGTGTTACACTAATGATTTTTCAAGCATACTTTGAGTGCTTAATTTAAAGGAAGAAGTTATAATCAAATGTGAGTTAGTTAGATTCAACTGACTCATGATTAGTAATTGAGTATACCCAAGTTTCCTAAGGCCTAAATCACCTCATAGTTTGAGCTTGACCCTAATGTTAAATTGGTATGGTCAGTTTTAACAATTGCATATCATTCAAACTTGAGTTAGTTGTCTAACCTAACAAGCTTTGATTCCTAATAATTTAGTGAATATCAAATATCCTTAACGGTGCTACATTGCTAGCCCAATAATTCCTTTTAATAGGTTATCTACTTTTTATTGATGCTTGATAAGTTCGATGGTTTCAAAAATCAAATATGTCGTGGCCACTCACCTTTGGGCAAATAACAAACTCTGCATGTTTTTTCCTTGCCAAGAACTTTTTCGAAGGATGAGGTTGTTCTATTGTGCTCGTGGGAATCAATTATAGAGCCAAACAAGGTTATGGCATGCTCGTCTTATTCATGATTGCATGAACTTGGTGAGCGTCTCAAATGCTTATAAAAGTATCTTGGATGCCTTCAAAAAGGAGAAGAAACAAGATGATGTTCAAAGACTAAGGCATCTAATATATTGCCTCCTTCGTTGATGTGAGTTTTCCACTGAGAACCTTCCACATCCTCTGAGCACCATTCCTTAGCTTTTGAAAGAACCTTTGGCTTACAATGTCTATGGTAATCTTCTCAATTCTCATGACTAGTTCTAAGCATATATATCTTTCCATCTATTTCCCAGCCGACCATCTTCATAGACATGAAAGTTCGATCCGGGTATAGGATGACAGAAGAATGAGTAGATCTTAGAACCTCATTTTTCTGGCACATGGATTTTTTTTTTTTTGGTTAAGCTACCACTGAGAACTAAAAGACCCCCTCTAACCTTCACCATTTTCTCAGCATAGTATTAAGGGCATATTGATGTTCTATTGTTAAAGTCAATTTCACTTAGAATTTAATGGCAACTACTCAAGGGAGGATACCTGCATACAATGCTATATTACGCCCAATAAATACTGGTGATCAAAATAAATGAACTTTATAGCCTAAAGCAAATCCAAAGCATCTAGTTAGCTAAATAAATAATATGAGAAATTTGAATTACACTCGGTTTCTCCCCTAAATGCATTATTTTACTTCATCTCTTCTATTAATGACAGTGCATTCTTTCCTTACGTATCCCGTATTAAAGCCACCATAGGTTGGGATTATGGATTTTTATTGTTTGATTATGATTTGATGAAACTAGCTCATCCTCAGTTGTAGCCTTCTTTCTATTTTCTCTCGAAAATTATGATGAGGCTCCATCATGTTGCCCCTTCTCATAAAAGACACTATTATAAGGTGCCCCTTCTTATAAAAGATGCTCTATTATAAGGTTAATTTAACTATAATGTGTGTGTGTCTGTGTGAATTAAAACTAGTAGAATCTTCAGTGACTTGAATAACATAAAATCATTTTTTTTAAACCAATTTTTTAGAATTTAAAAAAAAAATGATAAACATTATTGTCATCTTTGGGCCAAGTTCAACAATATGGAACCTATGGTTTAACTAAGACGAGATCCAAGGTTTAACTAAGGCAATCAATGGATCTCTAGAAGCCCATGTGAAGTTTATTATTCCTAACATGCTTGAGCTTGGGTTATTTTTTCCTTAGTCTCGCTAAATTTACAAAATTATCTAAAAATCTTCAAATCAAAGTGAGTCCCTCCTTATAATTCAATGGAGAGATTGGAGCCTCAAGCTCGTTGTATGAAGATTCACATTCTAGCAAAATTGTTGATTTTTTTCATATTAAGTTTATCTAATATTCATCGAACATAAGGAAATCTCAAACTTGAGGGGGTCTTTCCTGGGTGCTACAAGATTATGAAATGTTCATGTACCCTTGGCTGAGTTTCTGCATGGTTCAAGTCACTGGCTTGACTCTTAATTTATTATATTCTTAAAATACTCTACGAGCATTAGAACATCTTGAAACTCAAACATGGGTTCCCTACATACAAACCAAGGTCAAGGGACAATCAAATTACTCAATATAGCTTTTTTAAAATTACTTGGCTATGTTGGACAGATATTTAAATAATTTGCATTCATACATAATTAAGCCAATCTAGTCGGTATCTCAGTAGAGCAACATTATGAGGAACACCCTCGCCTAACAGTCAGTCTTTCTTTTTTTTTTTTTTTTTGATGTTTGTGCTGGGAAGGGAGGGTGCTATTGAAGGCCTTAATGGCTTTATGTGATATGCCTGCCTATGCATTTTACCCTAGAGCTCAGAACCCTAGGATAAGCTACCTCAAAATAACTAACTCACATGCACACTGCCCTTATGGTTGCGTCAATAATCAAATCATGACTTATATGGTTTTCTAACATCCTAAAGCTATAAGCTTCTCTTTCATTTTTGGATTCGGAGCCTCACATTAGCAATCGCCACGTTAACTTTGTCTCTTTAATAATAGTTGTAATCTCTAGTCTAACTTTCTAGGCCTCTCTAATAATAAGTTGAGAAGCTTAAGTACTTTGTAGGGTCCCTTTATCCTCGTTGAAGTAACAACCTTATACTACTCTTTAGTTTAGATTGCTTTTTTGAATTAGCTGAACTTCATTCTAAAACTTGGGCTAACTCAAGATTCCCTAATCGAGGAAACTCGTTAATATACCAATATGCCTTTTATGATATAAATAATAACACCTCTATTGCGTGGTATTCACTCTCAAGAACTATATAAAGCGAAAATTTGATATGGATTATGGTCCCAAAAATTGGGTTTTAGCACGTTAGTCAAATCCATCTGTACTCCTTTCGACATTTCTCTTTTGGAACTTATCTATAATTTGATATTGATATGTTTAATTATCATATCATACCTCTAAGCTAGAGACAGTTATGCAGTTAGACCTACGATGGACATGCTTTGTGCCTTTGAGCTAATCTCAATATGAATTGATCCATCCTAATTGTTGATCTTACAGTAGTCGTGTATTAAAATATTGAACCATTATTAGTCATACTAGTCCGGTAGTAGCCTTAGCTTTAAAGGGTTATTAACATTCAGCATAGTCACTTCACTGGGAATATCTAACAGGAGGTAACTCATGGCTATTAATTAGACTCCTTACATGGGATGGATTTTTGGTAGATTGGGCCTACAAAGTCATTGCATGGTGATAGATTCATGAAATCTTGATTTGGTTGACTATTTATCCTTATCTACCTTCTCTTCTTTATAAACCTAAACTGTGTTCAACAATTCCAAGCTCAATTGATATCGTTAGTTGACAAAGTTCTCAGGCATCAGGCTTTTGATGTAATTAATCATGAAGTTTTTAGCTCTGGGAGATATAAACCTTCTCTTAGAATTGAAATAAAATATAAACAACTCATTTTTTTGTTTATGGTAATATTTGGGATTATATAAAATGCCGTGCATTCTATGTTCTTAAATTTCAAACGAGCCGCAAGAGGATCCTCCGAGGTTTTTTGTGCCTTCAAACTTTCATGAAAAAGAGAGAACATGAATATCATCTTTAAAAGCTTGATATAAAGAGTGTGCTTCTCCTTAAATGAGGCTCTCAATTTTTTTTTAAATTTTAAAATTTTTTTGATGCCAGTAGAAAGTATTTTGTATTTTAAATCTAAATATACTGAAAGAGCAAGCCATATTTATCCAATCTGTTGTAAATCTATTTCAATTTTGTTTTCTTATTGTGTACTCTTTTAGTTATTGAATATCTTCTTGCTTTATTTAAGAGTATTTTGAAAAAAACTTCCTCTCTTTACTTATCATAAGATTTGAATTATACTTAAAAAGAAAATGATATAGAATGACTATTATCTTTAATGTTTAACATATGGAGTGCATTATTTGAAAGTGGAGCTTTTTCAACAGCATTTTTGGTCCGAAGATCTCCCTCATCAGACAATTGGAAGAGGTTCCTCCACTTCTCAAAAGGCCAAGGAGAGGGCTGACCATCTCATCTTGTCTCAGTCCTTCCAAACTGATCTAGCTCTCACTGTTGAGCCCACAACTTCTTCACAGCCTATAGTGACTCCAACATCATCTAACTCTAATTCCAGCTCCGACGAGCTGTTTCTTTGGCCATGGGTGGGACTGCTTGTTAATTTGCCTATGGAAGATGAAGATGTTTTTCTCAAAGACCAATTTTCAGAATTTAATCCAATAAATGTCATTGCTTCCCCTGAGAGAGACCTTGTAACAAGGAAAGGTGAGGCTGTGATTTTGTTTAATATGGATTCGAAAGGGTTCAAAGATGCAATGGCATTTGAGAATCACTTTAAGTTGAAGCGAATGGGGAAGAACGAGTGGTATGACAAGAAAGGTTTGAACTTAATTGGGATTCATGGGTGGATTGCTCGTGATGATGATTATAAAACCGGCGGATTGTTTGCAAAGATTCTAAGGAAGCATGGGAAAATGAAGACAGTGGTGGATGTAATGGAGGAGGCAAAAGAGAATGTGATGACAGTGGCTTCACTTGTGAAGAAGATGAATGTTATGGATAAATATTTGCAGGAATTGAAGTTTTCGTATAATGAGACGGTCATATCTCTTGAAAACATGATGGATTCAAAAGCTAAGATTTCACACAAGTATAATGAAGGTGAATTAGTTTATTTTGTTTATTTTATATGAGTGAATCTTAGATGTGGTTTATTGTGTTGTTTTCAGATTTCATTCCAGCATAGCTATTACATGGATTACAAGAAATGAAAATTTTATGCTTTTGACAAGATGAGAGCTTTACAGTTTGTCAATTTTTTTAAATCCTGTATTTGAAGCGGCAATGTAGTAAGTGCATTTGCAATTTGAATGTTTTGATCTGTTAATTTATTATACTCTGTTATTTTTAGAAATTTTGCTTTGTTAATAAAGTTTACTATTTTGTTCTTTTTACTTTATTTTTAATATCAATATTGCATGTGTTCCTCATTAATGCTTATGCCTTGGATTTTTTATTTATTTATTTTGTTAAAAGTTATATTACGAAATAATTTATTCATGTTAGAAGTTATGAGGATTAGATTTATTTCATTGGATTGGATATATTTTCTTTCATATTTTAGATTTATTTTCTTAGATCGAATTTATTTCCTTTTCTATTCTAGGATTTCCTATTTTATACTGTTTCTATTATCCCTAAATAATTATTATGAATTGATTAATAGAGATATGGGTGTTATATCTTTCACTTCATGTTATTTCTTTATTCTTCTATTTCCTATTCAAGGATTCATGTAAGGGTATTTATATCTCTTTTGATATCAATAAAATTATTCTGTTGAATTATGAAAACCAACATGGTATCAAAGCCTTAAAACAAACCATAGAGTCTTCTATCGCCCGAAACTTTTTATTCCCTGCAGCCAGCAATCTTTGTCGTGTTGTTGGCTATTCCTCTGCCTACTCTTTTCAGTTTTTCCGCTGGAAACTTTCTCTCCCTGCAGGACCCGCCGCCAAAATTTCCTCCTGCAGCTTTCCTGCCGTCGGAATTCTCTTCTGCAGGCCCTAGACGTCGGATACTTCCTCTCCCCGCAGGCCTTAGCTGCCATAACTCCTTTCTGCTGGAACTAGTCGTCGAAACCTCCTATAGGCCACCTAGTGCTATTTTCTTTCCAGTCGCTCCTGTACTTGCAAGGTCCAGCGTTGGATTCACTGATGTCTCTCCCGTTGCTGCGAATTTCCAGGCTACTACAGGCTTCCGTGTTGTTTCCCCGCAGGTTTCTGTAGTTTTGTCATTTCTCTGCAACCTTTGCTTTAGTTGTCATAGCACAGATGATTAACCATCATCATCACGACTCTTTTTCTCATCCGCAGCAGCGGCGAACCCCACTGCTAGCTCTCATCATCGGATTGTTATCGTTGTAGATCTGTGCGAAGAAAGTGCCTACGTTGCGAATTGGGTTGTTCAGAACTACCTTCGACCTGGTGATGTCGTCATCCTCCTTCATGTTCGCTCCACTTCTGTTATCTTTGGTGCTAACTAGGGATCGATAGAACTCTGTTTTGGAGGCCACAAATGCCGCTGAAGAGGTTGACTCCGAGCAGTCGCAATAGTAACTTGAGGAAGATTTTGACGCCTTCACTATCAGCAAAGCAAAATTCCCGCACAACCCCTTGTAGAGTCTCATATCCCCTTCAAGATACACATTATAAAGGATCATAACATGAAGGAGAGGCTCTGCCTTGAGGTAGAGAGGCTTGGGCTTAGTGTTGTTATTATGAACAACAAGGGATTTGGGGCATCTAAGAGGAGCATCAAAGGGATTTTTTGGAGCATCAGTGATTATTGTGTTCACCACTGTGTTTGCCCTGTGGTAGTAGTGTGGTACCCTGATGAAGCTGCTGGAGGCCTGACTGAAGATGCGATCACTTCCAACAATATAACTGTCATTGTTATTATCAAGGCTCTAGGCCAAACTCTCTGTGTTTTTTCCTGCTGCAGGCTCTCCTTCAGAACCTTTTTTTTGCCACAGACCTACCTTCGGAGCTTTTTCCTATAGCTGGCCCTCCTTCGGAGCTTTTTCCTTCCACAGGTCTACCTTTGAAGCATTTTCCTGTAGCAGGCCCTCCTTCGGAGCTTTTCCTTACAGCAGACCCTCTTTCATAGTTTTTCTCTGCTACTGCACTCCTCCGGAGTCTTTCCTTACAACAGACCTTCCTCCAGAGCTTTTCCTTACAACAGGCCCTCCAGAGTTTTTTTTTCCTGTAGCAGGCCCTCCTTTGGATTTTTTTTTTCAGACAGGCCTTTATCATGAGTTTTTTTTCCTGTGATAGGCCCTCCTTTGGAGCCTTCTCTTGCAGCAGACCCTTCTCCGGAGTTTTTTCCTGTTACAAGCCATTTCTCAGGCCATACCTGTAAGCCATACCCTGTAGCTCTCTCTCTACAAATATTCTTCTTTTTAACATGCAGACCATAACCTGCAACTTTTCCTGCAAGTGTTCTCTCTTTTTTTTTTTTTGTGCAGGTCATACCCTGCAACATATCCCTGCAACATATCCTGCAGGTGTTCTTCCTTTTTACTTGCAGGACCATACCTTACAGTTTTTCGTGCAGGTGTTCTTCTTTTTTATCTGCAGGTCATACCCTGCAACTTTTCCTGTAGATGTTTTTCCTTTTCATTGCAGCCATACACTGCAGCTTTCCCTGTAGGTTGTCTAATTTCTTGCAAACTTCCTTGTTGTATTACCTATAGAAGCCTTCTGCTTACTTATAGACACTGCAAAAACTGCAGTCAAAGACAACCGTAATCAACTAGAGGCCATTTTTTTTTGTAGATTGTCTACTCCCTTGCAAACTCCCCTGCAACATTATTTATAATCCCATGTCATATGCTTGACTATATTTAAATGAGGATAGTTATCTAGATAAACATCATTGAAATTTATCATCAATGTATTATCCTTGGCAACTTAGAATGAGGATGGCTTCGAGATGAAAATACACGGTCATCAATATACTTTAGCACATGTTCAAGGGCCTACCTGGACCTTTGGTCTTTGGTTAGCTTTGGGTGGTGCAAATGCTCTTGGTTCAATTCATCAAAATTTAGCCTCCAACCCAATGTACTAAACTGAACGAATTAAACATTAGAATTGCTATATTACCTTTCTTTTAGAATTGTGCTAAAACACTTAAAGACTAGAAGAACCCACTTGAATCAATTGATGTAGTTCGGCTCTTAAAATTCATGATTTAGATTCCTTTTTCTGAATGAATTCTGCCAAAAACACTGCTAGATTTTCCTTATAGATGTTTAGGTAACTATAATAAACTTGGCCCTAACTCGCATTTTACCTGAACTAGATTTCACTACTTTAGCTCTCTTTCTACTTTTCAGCCTTTTTGCACTGCTCTCTAGTGCCCATTGTTCTGTTTGCAATTGCAATTTCTTTCACCGACGGCATTATCTTTTTATAGTGATTTCCCCTTCATATTATTCTTCTCTGTTGCCTTCACATAACTGCTAACTCACATTTGCTGCCCGTTTGCTTCACCTTCATGGCCCCTAACACTTTTGTAATTTGCTTCACCTTCATGACCACCTAACACTTTTGTAATTTCCCACCACTTTCACATTCTCCCTCTCTATTGTTTCCACCTATGAGCATGATGAAAGGCTGACAATTGAACTCGAGGGCTGCCTAAATATTCTAGCTGACCTACCTGGTGTTTTAGTTTGGATGGGGTTAAAAGTAGGGACCATCATGGCTAGATTTATCCTTCCATTTATTTGGAACCAGTTTGAATAAACCCATACTCTTATGCATATTGGCTTGAAAAAAAAAAAATAGCATACTCTAGTTTGGTCAAGATGATTGTTCTTATCATTGTTGAATGGATGCATGCTTTTGGGCAAGAGAAGCGACTCGATTATTGTTCTTCATTATTTCTGTAAGAACACTATAATATGAGCTCCATTTCTGCTTTGAACCCTTTACAATAGTTTCTTTGGTATATGATTGTCTACATGGTTACTATTTCTTGACAAAACTACAATGTATGAAAGATCTAGAATTTTTTGTTATTGAATCTATTCTTGTTGTTGATGTTGTAAGATGATGATGATTAATAAAAATGATAATCATCTTTCATGTTGTGAATTCTATGAATCATCTTAGTATTGATAACTCCATTTTGCTCTCAGTATTTCTTGTTAATATGAGAATACTCGTACCAACTTAATTAAAAGGATATTCTATTGTATTGATCATTTTCATACATAATGTGTTCTTATTTTTGCGTGGTTTTGTCAGAAATGCATAATGTTAAGCAGAAAGGGCGTGAGAATGCACGGAGGAATTTGTTGGAGAATGACAAGTTAAAGTTAGAGTTGGGTGCAAAGAAGAATAAGATCGAACAATGTTGTAGAGAACTTAAAAATTACGAGATTAAAATTGAGGGTGTGAAGAGGAACTTGGACGTTGAGAAGGATAAGGTAATTTATGAGAAGAATGTGAGGGATTTATATTGCAATTGATGATGATATAATGCTATATAAAAAATTTTGGCGCACTTTTAGCATTATTGTTTATATACATCAAATTTTATTAATGTACTTTTGATGACTATGCTTGAGCTCTTTTTTTTTTTTTTTTTTTTCGGCAAAACTGTTGTAATTTTATAGTTAGAATATTAGATTAAAACTTGTTTTTTCTTGAAGTGTAATATTTAGAAAATAAAGGAAAGAAAGCCCTGGAAGATGAGAGTAATATCTGCCTTTAAACAAAGAGCATCCTCCTCGTACTATATTCATTGATGCATAGTTGAATGTTGGAATGAAAATTACTAGGTTTTTTCTTATTTTGATTTCTTGAAAGGAGACAAATTTAGTGTAGAAGGATAACCAAAAAAGTAATTAAGTGAAATAGATTGATAAGATGAGATGATCAGATACTTTAATAGGAGGGAGACTCATGTAGTGAGGAAGAAAGCACACAGAGCCCCTGAAGGGTAGATAGTTACTATAGGGGAAACCTAGCTATAAGATTTGTTTAGTTGTTGTTGTTCAAATTAAATGATAATGGGCCTTATTTTTGGAAAATAGGCCTTGTTGAAAATTTATAAATTTACCTTTGAACAATTAAATTATCAAGCATATCTTAATTGATATTTAACACAACAATAATCATGTTTTAACAAACAACTACAAACACAGTCCACTCATGATCAGGGACTACCATAGATATGAGCCATAATTTTGAAAGTTGAGACATTGAAGGATGGATAGAAAGTCTTCAATAGCATTAAATAGCTAGCAAAACTTATTTGGGAAGAAGAAGATGAATTGATAGTCCATCCCTGAGAAGAGCTATTGAGTGAGAATTCCACTCAGAATGCCTTTATTGGAGAGTTTCTTAATGCTTACTTTGATGATATTTTTATTGATAGCACGACTTTAAATTTGTTTTATAATACTTCTTACAATATTTAATATTTAAAGTTTTACAAGTTGAATAATTTTTTACTAATTTGAATATATATATGTGTGTGTGTGTGTGTGTGTGTGTGTGTGTGTGTGTGTGTGTGTGTGTGTGTGTGTGTGTGTGTGTGTGTGTGTGTGTGTGTGTGTGTGTGTGTGTGTGTGTGTGTGTGTGTGTGTGTGTGTGTGTGTGTGTGTGTGTGTGTGTGTGTGTGTGTGTGTGTGTGTGTGTGTGTGCGTTTGAGCGGGCGGAGGACATCAAGAAACCTGGTAGGAAGATTGGAAGTCTGCCATCTTTTTTACAGAAATTGAAGATATTCAACTTGCTTCCTTCTGTCGACTGAATTTGGTCGAAAAATTTTTGTATCATCATCCCAAAATAAACTTGATTCGCAATGAATTTGAGCTTATGCACCTTGTTGGAGATTAGAAAATTGGACTGTTAGATGAAAAACACATTCTTATACAACTAAATAATGAAGAAGATTATACGTGATTATTTGCTAGAAGGATAATCTTGATTGATAACAGAGAAATGGAGATTCTGAAATGGTCTGTGGATTTGACCCACAGACGAAACCATCAATTATTCCGGTTTGGATTCGCCTCTCGTCTGAAATTTTATTATTTTACTCAAAAAGTATTGTACTCTATTGCCTCAGCTTATATTAAGTCACTCAAAACGGGCATTCCTACTTTTAATATTTTCCGTCCATCTAAAGCAAGAGTACTTGTTGAAAGAGACATTATTTCATCTGCTTCTAAGAAAATTTCGTTCGGCACACAACACCATGGATATTGGCAAAAGATAATGATTGAGTCTTTTCTTTCGTATTGTTTGAACTGTCGTATGCTTGACTACTCCAGTTCTCAATGTCACTATTTACACCCCCACCTCAGACCAAAAAACACAATGCTCCGCCAGAGGCCGTGAATTCATCTCCTCTTAATCAGCTCCAAGTTATTGACATTATTGATCATCAAAAAGAAACCCTTAAAGACGTCACTATTTTTACAGGCAATATGACAACCATTCAGTCCCCACACAATGTTGTAGCTCCCCTGCCTTTGGAACCTCCTATCGTGGGGGAGGGGGAGATTTTTCAGACCCTACTTGCCCTATAACCTATCACTAATATTACAGGTAGCAATATTTCTACTGCTTCGCTACCGCCTCATCAGGTCTGCAAAGGTTATGAGTTTAAGGAGCCTACATCAGATACTGCTCCACCTTGGATAAATGAGATGTAGATTTTCCAAATGTATTGACCCCTTCTGGAGTTGCACCGAAGGAAGGTCCAACATGTTAGAAATGAGGTCATTGTGTTTCATGTCGAGAACATTACATAGAGTTATTCAGAGGTTACTTTTAGGTCAACATGGGATGCCTCGTCAGATGTCTTAATTAAAGAGGTGAATCCCAGCTTTGTAGCGGCCCCAAGGAGTTTGATGGGGACAAAAATTCTGCAATGGGATCCAGGTCTTATCTATGGGGAAGAGGTCTCTCCTGAAAAGCCAGTGAGAGTTATGCAACCTGCCATAGATTTCAACCTAGAGTGAATTTCTCCTCGCATATCAGTCTATCAGTTGCACCCAGCTGAGTACGAGGAATGGAAGAAGCATGTTACAACTGGGATGACGTGATACTTGATTCTTGAGAATACTCGTCTAGTTACAATTTCAGGTCAAGTTGTGCCAAAGGTGGACGGATATCTCTTATATCATAATGTGCTTTGGAACAACAATGTCTACTTGTACGACGTACCAGAGGACTCGACGGCGTGCCACTAGGAGTCAAAAGCTTCAACGAATGAGGTTGAAGCTCCCCCAATCCCGAGAGAATGACATGGGGGTTTTCCTCCAAAAGTTGAACCAGTTTGTCCCGAACCGGTTTACTTGAGAGAAGGGGCTGAACCGACCCCTCCTCTCCTCTTTTCATTAAGCAGAAAATTCCCGCCTTCTTATTTTCATTTCCCGCACATCCCACTTCCATTTATGTGTGCTTTAAGGTATTAGGAAAACAATTTATGTTATTTCTGATTTCAGATTTATGAGAACAGTCGTCGACTTACCTGTTTCCCCTTGAGGGTTGAATCTGACGGTTAGAGTGTTGCTCTGGCTGTATCCCTCTCCCCGGTGGTGATTTATCTTCCTTGATGTTCACCTGCATCTCCTCTCCTTGACACCTGCAGGTTTCCCCCAGCTTCCCTGTCCCTGTCATCCTTCACCCCCCTCCCCCCTGCAACCCCTATTTCCACCTTTTTCTTCTGTTCCCCGGTAGGTGGCCCTCCCGTTTCCTGCAGTAGGTCCCAACCGTAGGTTTGCTTCTAACCCCCATCCACTATATAGGCCAACCTGCAATTCCACCTCCACTACGAAACCCCTCTTCCTGCACCCAGTCAATCACGTAACCCCTGCCATCCTGTGTTTGCTGGAATCCCAACCCGTTAGGCCCAATCCTCCCCCAAACCAACAGTTGTCCTTCCAAGTCCCTACCCGACTTCTATTAGCCTTATGGCCAGGCCAGGACAATCCGCAGACTGCAATCCAACCTATGTCCAGCAATCTTGCCCTAAAGCCCACCCCTTGGTCATCGCCTCGAGGGTGTTATTTGTGTTTGCTGTCGTTTATTTCCTGTTTTTACGAGTCTTTATTGTAACCTTTTGAATTTCAGCTATAATATTATTATTCCTGTGGTGGTTGGGGTTTTCCTCCATTATCATTTTAAAAAATAAATATATAATTAATAATTAATCTAAAAATATTATTATTATAATAATATATTAATATTAAATATAAATTAAATAAATTATAGTTAATTAAACTTATCTAAATAATATATCATATATGATATGGGTTATCATCTAGCTTAATATCAAGTATATAACAGGTTATTTGTTGACTGTTGTGAACACAAATGAACAAATTCGACTATTTTCATGTTTAGCTCATTTAAGCTTGAAGTTTTTAAAAATTGTTCCGGTTTGTTTATTTACTAATTTGAACAAACATGATCGAGTCTTAATCGAGACAAAAGTTTTTATGAAGTGCTTTGGTTCATTTATAGCCCTACTAATGAAGTTTAATAATATCTAAATTCTCAAATGAAGATGGTGCATAGAAATGATCAGTGAGTTGAGTTTCTACAAGAATATTCTTATATCCTTTAAACATTTTATTAGACCTAAAAATAAACCCTGTAGATGATTTACGCAGATTTTTTGTCTCTTCATGCAATGCAGGTTAAGTGATTGATTTTGATGATATAAAAAGATGAGTATAGTGCTTATAAATATTTCAATAAAACTTATTAAGAGTTTAATAATAATTTAGTTTTGCTTAGCAATAGTTAGGTGATTAAAGATAGCTTATTTATTTAAAGTACTCGTGTTTGTGACTCATCAATAAGAGGTTTTCTGATTTTAGTATTTTATGGTAGGGTTTTGCAACTGGGAGAGATAATGCCATTGTAATGTTGAGGATAAGTATTTTTTTGCCTAGTCTAGGAAGAGTATAAAATTTGGTTGCGTACAATTCTATTAATTTCATAATGCTAAAGGACGTTAATATGAACTTTATGTTAGGCATACCACAACATTTAAAAGCATGATTTATAATTTGTATTGGTAAATCATTTTTCAAAAATAACACATTTAATAGCTAGTCATAAAATTGTTGATGTGTTTTACATTGCTATGTATATTTTAATGAGGTGGTTAAATTATGTGGTTTACCTAAAACAATTGTCTTTTGAGTTTCTTTTGGAAATCTCTTTGGAAAGAAATGGGAGCCTACTTATTTAAATTTCAGTAAATTACTTGGTTATCCACAAATTGGTGGACAAATTAACGTTGATAATGAAAGCTTGAGAAATCTATTTTATTATCTAATAGAAAGCCATACATCTAGGTAGGATTGGATATTGTTTATGGTTGAGTTTGTATTCAAATCATCTATTGATAAGTCTAGTGACATGAGTTCATCTGAAATTTTCACCAGATATCAATATTATAGTCGTTGCTAACCTTCTAATAGAATTTGGGCCTTAGCATAATCATTCGTGCAACATATATATGATTTGTATGAGGATATTCAAAAAAAAAACATCGCTATAATTAAATTTTTTTTCTTGATGTGAACATGAAATGTGAGGAATTTAAGTTTGGTGCTAAGATAATGGTGCATATAAATGTAGAAAGGCTTACAACTACAATCTTTTATTAATTAAATGTTCAGGAGATGGTTGTTTAAAATTTTGAAAGGCATTATGAATAATAACCTCAATTTGGAAATTCTAGAAAAAATTAATATGAAGTTTTGAATGCGTCTAATTTGTCCTTATTTTATTTGCTTACTTTCAATGACTTAGATTTTACCCTCTTTCCATCTCTCCTTGTGAGATCCATCCAATCTTCCACCAAATACTTTTTATAGTTTTTTTCTTGAAGCTATCCTAGATTATGAAATTTTTTCTATTGTTGATGGTGGAATCTTGATTTATCTTTTCGCGCTACTTGTAAGAGTGACCTGATTGTGATGGTTCATGGATTACTTTATAACATGTATAAAGTCTATGTCCTGATTTACTTTATGAATATCTGCTATTATATTTATTTGAGCTGAATTTGTCTAAACTTGATAAATATGATGGAAATCTGTACAACACACAATGTTTTGTTCATTTTATATCTATTTCATTTGTTGGTTTATTTATTTTGTTTTTTATGTAATTAGAATATGCCTTTGATGATGACTGAGAAAGGTTATATATTATTTTTTATTTTAAATTTGGTTTTCATTGTTTGCTATACAGTTCAATCTTTATTCATTTTAGATTATTTTCCAAAATTTGTTAGAATGGGGCTTTTTTGTCTTGGAGAAGCGGTTTGGACCGGTGGGAGTTGATTTATTTCTAGTTTGGATTTATCTATTAACTTGATTTTCATTATATTTGGACGATGGATATTGAACTTATTGTGGAGAGAGGTGGTGGTTGTGCTTGATTTATGGAGGGGATCTTTTATTTATTTATATTTGGATTTGTTCGATGAAATTTATGTTGTATTGCTTTTGAGGTATTTCTCTGGATGGGACTTAGTTTATTTTAGAAGGATATCCACCAACATTTGTCTGCAGGGCGGCTTGTTTGATTTTTGTTTTTTTGTTTATGAAAATTTGTAATCATAGTTTTGAAATTTGTATATTGTTTAGATTAATTCATACTTAAATTGAATTTTATCTTTTCTCAATCTTATTTACTAACATAAGGTATCTAGAGTTTATAAATTGTTTTCCTAGACATGTCATCGACAACTTCTATTTGGATAAAATTTATTTTTTAAACTTGAATCTTGTTAGTGCATGTTGGCTCTGTGATTTATTCAACTTTTGTGCAAGTACAGCTACTTGATTTCGTGGAAGCATCTTTGTACTTGTATGAGGTAGTTTCTTTGTTATTTTTGTTCCTTTTTTTTTTCGTCTTTCTTGGTTAATATCGACTTTTTGGTTCTCTTGATTTGATCTAAAAGTGATGTGTTAACAATCTAATCTGTGGAGATTAATTTCAATTTGCTCGATTTTGTGTTTTAAATTTTTTTGCTAGTTTTTAAATTATTTGACCAATATATTATCAGTTTGTTTTAAAGAGGAGAATTTCTTATTTGCAATTAGAGAAAGAAAGCCGTTGAACTAATTAATGGCTTGTGATTGTTAGTGTTGTAAACGAACAGAGCAGAGCAAGTAGAAGGCTGTGTTCGAGATTGAGTTAATTTACCAAAAATTTGTTTGAGCTTGGCTCGAGCTATACTTAAGCTGCTATATTGCTGTTTAGGATTAATTTGTTTAAATCCATACTTGTCTTAGCTTGACACTAGCTTGGTTCATTTTTGTGATTTTTGAGCTTTAGAAGAATAGCTTACTTAGCAAGTTAAATGAGCATTATTGAGTCGTTCTTATGGCGCTTAAAAATGGCATGTTAATTTAATTCTCATCCAACAAAATCCCACCAACTAAAACCTTAGTAGCATTCATCACAATCATTTGCATACCCCCACATGAGTTATAAACTCATGCAACAAAGCTCAGCATTATAATTTAGATAATACTAAGTTCAATGTTCAAATGATGTGGGACTAAATAGCTATAAAGGTATAATCGGGTAGTAAATTTATTCGTAAGCTTGAAAAGATCATTTCTATAAACGAATCGTGCATCTTAATGAGCTTGTTCAAAAATGATATTGGAGTTAACCGAAACCAGAATAGAAAATCAAATATTAGTACTTAAAGTAACTAAGTTCATACAATCAACACACTTGAAAGGAAAAATTTAACAATACGGCACCCGGAAATCAAATCAGAAATATCAACAGACGCATGACACAAATAATTAAATTAGGGTAGGATCTCAAAGTGGCGGTGGTGATTGGCGAGGGCTTGTCCCTCCGACGAGGTTTCAAGGAGTGGGTGAAGGCTAGAAGGCGAGGCGACTACAAAGTGTGTGACGAAAACAACGAAGTGTGGGAGTTGCGGCAAGGGCAGCAAGCTGGAAGGAGAGGAATGGATGGCTGGGTGGCTGGAACAGCTGAAAAACAGCAAGAAATGGCTGTTTCCGGGTGGTTGCGGTAAGGAGGAATATCGGCATAAGTGGCGGGGGATGCGGGGAACTGCAGGACAGCATGAGGACGGTTGTCCGGGGTGGCAGCAGCGAGGACAGATGGCTGGATTGGAGAAAGTGTAAGGAAAACAGTAAAGTATGGCTGTTTGGGGGGAGGCTGCAGCAATGGAAATCGGTCGGGAGCGATGTGGGGAGGATGTGGAAAGAGATAGGTGATATAAACACCACCTCGGGAGAGAGATACAACCGGAACATCACCCCACCCAAACTCTCAGTTATAGGCCTCAAAGAGAGAAACGAACGTCAGCGGCTATTCTGACAGAAATCTGAGCCAAAACTCAATTTCAAACCCTAATACAACACATATATAGGAAATGACTAAAAAGGAATGAAAGATAATTGGAAATAAAACATAAGAAAGAAAAATAGGACTGTTTTGGCCCGTCTCCTGCGATTGTGACATCCCATGGTACTGTAACAGTTACAATACCGCGTCGACGATAAGCTTCTACGTCAATAAGATTCTTAATCATGCTTGTTCACGAGCTCCTTAATGCTCTTTAAATGATATGATTTGTTCTGAAAAATGAATCAATTAACTAGTTGCTCCAGTTAATTCATCAATTAAGTATTTATGAAATGGATCAAACTCGTTTGATCATTAATCAAATGATCATGAATGAGCTCTAATCAAGCCGAGCCATGTTTGTAGAACATTTAGTTCATTTGCAGCCTTAAGATTTGTGGACCATCTCTTCTTTTTTATGTATAGATTATATCATATTTATTGTATTAGAAAACCCTAACTTGAGTTATTCTACATAAAAATAGGCCTTATAAAAATTCAAATTCACACGCGAATACATAAAAATAACAATATAATCCTAACAGATATTTAGCGCAATAGTTGACTTAAATGCTAACAATGACGGACACAAAATTGGCTAATAACTAGAAGCAAATATATTTGCGTTGTACGATTCATTTTCCATATTGTTCCAAAAAGATTCACAAGTTTCTAACTGAAAGTAAAAAATATGTGATTAGTTTTGACTATTCAAAATATTTTTTTTCCCCTAGAACTTTTAAAGCATTTTTTTGAAAGGATAAAACCAAAATTTTTACATGGTTTTCATATAATTCAGCTGACCTTCATGTGCCCTTGCAGCTATTGATTTAAAGGTCTGATGCAATTCCTTTTGATGCTGATTGATACTGATATACATGTATTTTTAGGCTGCGCTGGTTGACAGTTACCTTGCATTGGCGCACATTGAAAAAAAGAGTTATGATGAAAAGGTCAAGGAACATATGGAAGAACACAAGGTAATCTAACAATGCATAACTCGTTTTTGTTCATGTTTGATTTTCTTCCCAAAAAATATGATTCACGATAACCCTTTGTGACGTAGAGAGAAATGGAAGTTGCTCTTACAAGAGTGCGCCAGCTAGAAATGGAGCTGGATCAAAAACAAAAAATGGAGCTTGAAATTACTCATCTGAAAGGTAAGTTGAAAGTAATGGAGCATTTGCAAGGGGAAGAAGATATAGACAACAAAATAGCAGAGTATCATAACAAATTGGAACAAGAAAAGGAGCATTTAGAAGAGTTGCACAACACTCTTTTTTTGAAGGAACGTGAGGCCAATCAGGAGCTCAATGAAGCTCGTGCAGAATTGATCCAGGTAATCTTCTTCCGTCGTCTTTTAAGCATTCTGGTTCCAATTCATCCTTGTTGACATTTTGATTTTAATCATAGAATTTTGAGGGGCTTACAAAATTTTTGCAAGTTCCCTTTTTTATTGGAATAAAGAGAATGGGTGATCTGGATATCAAGCCTTTTGAAAGCGCATGCAAGAAGAAGTTTCCTGCAGGCCAGTGTGAAAACTTCCGTGTTGTGTTCTAGTTGGGATGCGCAAATTCGTGATCCATTATGGCATCCTTTCAAATTCATCAAACGCGATGGTGTTAATGAGGTATTGATTTAAAGCTGATGTTTAGTTTTCATTTCAGATTTCAGGATTATTACTTCAAGCTCATCATTTTGCTCCCAAATTTGGTTGACGCAGGAAGTAATTGATCAAGATGATCCAAAACTGAAGAGCCTGTGGACCAACTTTGGGGATGATGTGTACAATGCTGTAAAGAAAGCTTTGCTGGAGATAAATGAGTATAATCCCAGCGGTAGATATCCTGTCGCCGAGCTATGGAACCGGAAGGAGGACCGAAAGGTTGAGATGAAGGAGGCCATCCATTACTTCATCAAACAATACAAAACTCGAAGGTGAAGAAAAGTTTTTTATTTATTCTTTTTCTTGTTATGGACTTGTTGGCACAGTCCCATGGTTCAATATATCTAATGGGCCATTCTATTACTGCTCTTATGTTGTGTTCTATGTTGGAGGAAGGCTTAGAATGTTTTCACTTTGCCCATTATTTATACAATTCTAAGCTGTAACTTTCTGCTTTCATTTTAAATTTAAAGATGTATTTTTCATGTTCTGTGTCCGCTTGGTTTCGATAAGGGTTGTGGTCGGTTCTTGCATATTTTAGATTTGAGATTATTATCCGTCAATATATATATATATATATATTATGCAAGTTTTATTATTAGTTTTTTCTTGTTATTTAAGTGTATTTTAAAAATTTGCCAGTCCTACCAAATTTTGAGTGATATTCTTGTTCTATTATTTGAAAATCTATCATTATCATTAATTTTAATTGTTTGTGAAGATTGCTTGTGTTGATGGTTGAAGCTTTTTGAGCTATATGTCACCTCCCAAAAGAGCCCTTAAGAGAGGTGGGCAGCCCAGGATTTAAATACTGTTTTTCGGCCCTACACCTAGCCGATGTGGGATTATTTGTCCGTGACATTCTCCTCCACCCAATCACGTGACGCCCTCGTCACTGATTGGTTCTACCGAGAGTCCAACTGGACCATGAAAAGTCCACACACCTGACAGACAGTAATCTACTCTGATACCACTTGTCACCTCCCAAAAGAGCTCTTTTGGGAGATGACATATAGTAGTGATGCGTGACTGTGTTTTGATAAGGCCATGTTGTTGTACAGGCTACGGAAATTGCAATTATTTGGTACGATGTTTAGTTAAGCCTTTCAAAACTCGTGAATCAGCTGATTTAAAAGATTTATTGTAAATTATGTTTAAAAAATTCTGAAGCTGTAAATTTCTCTTTTTTAGTTAATTTTAGCGTTTTGACTTCCTATATTTTTCACTTGTTATTATAAGAGTTGTTTGAATCACTTGTTTTATATTAACTTAACATGAATTGTAGAATAAATTTGAATTCAATTCATTAATTAAGCACTTCTCTTGATTGGTAGACAGTTGACATCATATCAGTTAAAATTAAATCAACAAAAATAATTAGAAAAAAAAAACATAAAATGAAAATAAAAAACTGTAGCATGCAACGAATGAAAGAATTCAACTGTTTATTATCAACATTTCAATAGTTCAGAGAATGCCAATAATTGATCCAAAGCAATACATCCCACAGACCAAATAAGCTAAATCATTTCTTTCCCCTTTCCCTAGACATAAACAAAGCCTGCTGAAAAGAATGAATTAAATCAAAATCAGACAAGTAATCAAATTCTTCTATCCCTCATATAAAAGAGGAAACTATAAAAAAAAAGAAAAAATTCAATTAGCAAGAGATGAGAGAAACTGCTTCTTCCCCAGTTCTAATCCCAGCCTGGAGCAGCACAACAGCCTTCTGGCTAAAAGAATCATTAATTTCATATCATTTACATAACCCTTACTTTACTTCTTCCTAATTTTACCCCCTTTGACCTTTTTTGCTGTTCCTTCTTAATATTCATACATTGGTTGAATGGCATTAGAATCATGCGAGGACGAGACATGGCTCGGCCAGTCTACTCGACTTAGCCTGCTGCTGCCCCCAGTAGGCATGGGCTGAGAGAACTCGGTCGAGCAGATCCTGCGGCACAGGCTCCCCTCTTCTCTGTTGAGGGGATATCCTGGCTGTGTGCACCAATGTCTTCCACTTGTCCTGCAATTAACAAACAAGACTTTTCACACTCTTTTCTTTTCTCTTAATGATTTTCGAACAATCATTGAGTTTTACAAAGCTGACCCATTAGACTTTTTCAAAGAGAAAAAACATACAATTCATTGTATTTTAGGAATTCAGCCTATTTTATAAATGTCAAAATAATCCTGAGAGCTCAATTTTAAAATAATCAGGAACTATTTTGACAATTCTATAAAATATTCGTGACTATTTTGACACTTTGCTCGTTCTATATTGGTTGTGTAGGTAAACAGAATAAAGTGGGTCAAATTGGTTAAAAAGGAGATAAAAGGAGAGATTCATGCAGGCTTTTAACGGGTCAAATTGGTTAAAAAGGAGAAGAAAGGAACATGGAACCGCGTTAGGTTGAGCACTCCCCAGCAGTTCATCTACCCGTTAAAAGTTTGAAAGTAAACAGCTGCCTTGCTTACGGCTCCACACAAAGCACATGGAAGCTTCGTGCATTAATTGAATTTTGGAGAAGATATGGTTTGGTCAATTACCTTCAAGTCCACGTAGGTGCGATGCTTCACGTTGTCGAAGGCTCTCAGCTTCACATCTCGCCACCTGCGCCCAAGTTATGTAACACCGCTTCAATACAATCACCAGGAAATCAAGATTTTTGCAATTGCGAGAAAAAAATTTCGGAATTTTAAATCTTGTGCTTTTATATTTATGCCACCAAAATCTTCCACATGGCATCAAAAAGATCATTTTTACTTCTAAAAAGTGATGCATATACATATTTTCATGCATGGTCAAGGTGGTGTGGGTGTAAAAATTGAAATTTAGAAGTTAGATATGTAAATACATAGAAATTGAGAGGTGTGTATGTAAATCGTCCAATTTTGATAACTTCTATTTCACCATCCACTAATAGTTAAATTTAGGATTGTTTTAAACCACATCGTTCACGGGATTTAATACACTTTTTAAGGGTTTGTTTCCTCCCATAAACCATAAATCATGAAATAAATTGCAGAAAAATTATAAAAAAGATTCAACAAGGACTATTTTGAGTCTTGAGATTTGAGATTGACCTTCCAGTTCCAAGCTTTTCCACAGCCTGGACCAGAGCTTCCACCTCTGAAACAGAGAAGGGCCGTCGGATCCGACGAACGACTACAGACAGCTTGGAGTTGCGAAAAGGAACTACGGGGAGAGCCTCAGAATTCCCCGCAAGTATGGGAACCAATGCTTTCGAATTGTCACACATTTGATCTACAGATGATGAAGGGTTGGTGGGTGAGTGAACCGAATCATGGTCGCTCTCTGTACAGTTTTCCGGGATATTGGGAGGAGTTTGGGTACTTGGCGCACAAGTCACTTTATCCGGAATCCTGAAAAGCAACACAAATGTAGTAAACTGTAAGCCACTCCTACTCCATTTAGATTTGAAATAAGAAGCCATTATTAGCTTGGAAAGGAATCCAACGGTAACTAAGAACTTGGAACTTGCTCCTTACTTGTTAAAGGGTTGTGATTCACAAGAATGTGAATCACAAGGTGGTGGAGGAGATCGAGTTGGACTTGGCTCTAGTGCAAAACCCAAATTATCCAGCTTATCTTTGCTAGAAATTCCAGCTTGGAGTAGAGTCTTGTTGTCATCTCTAATCTTCTTCCCTTCCAGAAGAACACCAACGCGCAGTCCACCACTTAGTACAGCAGTCACAGCTTCCATAACGGTCCTCTGCAAATTTAAAATTTGCCCAATAAAGTGCATGAAAATGACCAAAAAACTATTTATCAACAATAATTGATGAGAAAAATGAAGCAGTGTCGAAAGAGAATACCTTCAGAGAACCAACAGTAGCATTTGCAGGGATCTCAATAGAGAGTTCCGGGACTCTAAAAGATTTTATGCTCAATTTGACTGTCATGAAAGAGAGTGAGCACCTTAGAACCTTAAAAAGATTCAAAGTCGAAATTATTAAACAAAAGGCAAGTTCTGTAGCCTATTATATACCAGGATGGTCCGCTGACTCATATGATAAACTCTGCTCTGTGGTAGAGCATGACCTACCATGTGCTGCAAAAGGAAAAGAAAGCTGGTTTCACTTAAAAATTCAAAGCCGACAGAAGGGCTCAGCAGACAAGAAGATGCAAACAGTTCAGCTCACCATCATTTAACTCCGCATCGGGATTACCAGAATTTAACTTGGTATCATCTTTAACTAGTACTTCATCAGGTGCTGAAAATGAGATGCGCTCGATCAACTTTTTCCTCTTAAATGAGCTTCTTTGTGTCCTTCGGCGAGTATAACACAGATTCCGAGCACGAAAAGCAGGCTTAATTTCTTCATCTAGGAAGAAAAAGAATCACAAGCTCAACTTACAACAATAAGACGACATAAAATAAGAAAAATAACATGGAATCACAATAAAGGACAACATTTAGAGTAAGGATTTTAAGAGAGAATACACATACCACCATGCCACAGCTCTCCATCATTCATCGCTTCCCCATCATCTTTCCAACTGTTCGTTGTACTCATTTTCCTCACCCTGCGTTCACTCTTACAATGCGGCTTAAATGGCTTCGAATATATAGCGCTATTATGAGTGCGCCAAGAAGAATTTTCGTCATCATCTCTATCTAAAATCAGGTCCATTCCGTCCCTGAGTGAGTGAAGGGAGCTACTGTGAGCGCTATGATAATCTCCAAATGGAGGAATCTCAATACTGCTGTCTGAACTCAGTAAAGCTGGACTTTTGGTATCCAAATCAATTGGATCATCTAACTTCTGGATCTCCATAGCATCATTTTTCAAAGTTCCAGTTTTTGTCAGCATCTGTTGTTGACGCTTCAGACCAGATTGCGCAGACTCCCAAGCAAAACCATCCTTCTTGGACATATCAGACTTTACAACTGCAAAGTCAGATGCGGCACCATTTTCTGCGTGAGAGACAAATCTTGCAACAAAACTACTTTCATCACAGCTTCCCTGATCAAAAACATCACTTTTGGATGGACTGCCATGGTCAAGTTGCTCCTTTTTAATTGTATTACCACTAGTAGTTATTTCCGCCGTCTTGTGTAATGAACAGCTGCTCTCTCTCTTTGCTAACAGCTCTCCAGCTACAGTTGCGAGCATGTCAAATGGATGCATTTGGGTGTTCTCAGCCTTCTTTTGGGGAGAGCGCTTTCCCTATACAAAAAAAATGAATGATGAGTCAAAGATTAGCAGAAAAAAAAAAAAGCAGAGGAAACAAGATTATAATTTTATAATTTGTATCTACCCTCGCCGATCTTGGAAAGCGCGGCATTGTGGGTATCTGGCATCCAATGAATCCGGCGTCCAGCCTCTTTTGAAAAACCATTTCTTTTGAATTTTGTTAAACAGCGAATTCAGGATCCGATTAAAGAAGACACTATGATCCAGCTGCCGGCCTTAAAAGCCAAATCCATACAAGCCTGTTGATTCATGGAGTTTATTGGCCAACAAACATGAAAAAGTGCACAAAAATGGCAGAATATTGCATAAATAAAAGGAAACAATGTTTCCGATATTAATTCATTCAAAGAAATCAACACTGTTAATAAACAGTGAAATATATTGATGAAAACGAAAGGAAACTTTTTTTTATTTTTCAGTAACGTATGCTTTCAATTGAAAGGATTTAAATCAAGGTAAGGATGAAGAAAGAATAGTGAAACATCATGTTCCAAGCATAAGAATTCAGAAGTAAATTGATAAATAAAAATTGAATAGATCTGATAAGAGAGAGAGAGAGTGAGTTACAGCATAAGCCTTGAGATAGGTATTGCCCCTTACATCCAATGAAAAGTTATGGAATTCGATTCCTTCAAAATAAGATTTCAAAACCCATAAAGTAATCCCATTTCACATGACACTCTGAAATGAAATTTGAAAAGAAGATCAACAGATGAAATTCGTGATCTGAATAAAATATGAACACCCTGATGCAGAATTTAATGGAGGAAAAGAACCAGCGGAAGGCAAGGGATACAATTATCCACATACCCTCGGAAGAATGCAGCAAAACCGATCTAACAATAGAAAGACCATTGTCAAAGTAAACTACACCTCTTTTATAAACCTCAGAATCTATGGAAAACAAAATTTTCCATTACCTTAATTCTAAAAACTAAAAAATAAACCAAACTAGAAGTGATCTGGAAATTGAGTAGCACTTCTCTAGTAATCTTCCAAAAAAGAGATAAATCAATGCGACAATTTTAATTGGCGAAATCAATAGATCAAATCAAAATCACAAGAAGATGATCCGTAAAGCTTAAGCAATCAAAGTTTCACAGCGCAAGAAATGCGATCGCTACTGAAACCGACACGAAAGTACACCCCAAAACCGGATCTCAATTCTCCCGGCAACAAAATCAAAATTCACTGAAAAGAAAAAAAAAATCCCATTTGAAGCAGAATTCATCATGTTTTTCAACAATCGCCGGAAACAAATCTCCGAAATAGCAGCTAAAAACCACCCGCCAATCGACGGAGCGAAACCGGACGGCAGTATTCCTTGTGCTCACCTCGGATTCAAGAAGAAGATTGCCCAATTCACACAATTTCCAGAACGAAGAACAGATTGCTGGAGAAACAACACAACGAAATTGATCAGAGAAATCGGAAATATACAGAATCGATCGCCAAATCTCGATCCCAACACGAATCCTCTTCCTTCACGCACTTGTTCACCCAAAAGAATTCAACAATTTGAATATATATTTTTTTAAATTTTCTCCTTCTCCCCTCCCTATCTCTTGCAGAATTCTCTCACCACCCAGACGATCGCCAAAACCCCTGAAACTCTAAAAACCACTTTTTTATTTTTTTTTTCCTCTCTCTAAAACCCCTGCTCTTATAGTTCCAGCCAGCTTAGTCACCGGCTCAGCCGGTAAAACCTCATTTTCTTCCACTGCCGATCACCGGTCGCCCAAACTACCCGACCATTTGGTGCCTTATCCCATCTCTCACGTCCTCTAGATTCACTCCACGTGTCTCAGCCCTCATCCCACGGTGCACAATTTTCATAGCTCATTTTTTCATAAACTCCCCAAGCATTTAAAAATTCGGCTCTTGTCGTAATTCGGATATTTTATTAATTAGAATCCGTTTCGGCTTCTTTTTTAAAAGACAAGATTAAATTCATTTTGATCGTAAAAATCAGTTAGTTGGTTGACGTTAGGAAATAGATTTTAAAAGAATAAAGTGCAAAAATACTGCCTCACTATTTTCACGGAGCTGTTTTAATCATAGAGTTTATAGAAATGTTAAAATAATATCTAATTATATTAGAACTGAGCTCTAATAGTTCTCTATAGTGACTATTTAAACCCTAATTTAAAAAAATTTAGTACTATTTTGACAATTCTATAAACTTTAGGATGCGCGAATATCAATGATTTGAAAGTATTTTGACACTATACTCATTTTAAAAATGTGATTTTCATTTCAATTTATGATTTAATTAAAATAATTGTCATAAACGAGATTTCTAAACTCCATCAATCGAAAGAAAGAGGTTTTGATTTTGAGATATTTGAATAAATTAAATTTAATAAATAAAACATTGACGAAATAAGCCAAAATTCTAATAGGATTGAAGGCGAACCATAGTGGGATGTGAGTCTAGGGTTTCTTCTTTCATGGTGTTGTCAGGGTTTCTTCCCTCTTCAATCTTTTGAGAGCGTGTGAGCTGCTCCTCTTCTCATCATTTGAGTCGCTTGTGTTGGGCATTTGTTCTGAAATTTTATGTTTCTCTCTTTATTTTTTTAGGGTTCTATCTACTTTGTTTTTTTTTTTTTTTTTCTATTCATTGAGACTTCTTTTCTTCTTTTACCTTCTTCATCCCATAATATTTCCATTATTCGGACAGCTTTAAACGGGAAGGGATTAGTTTCTTCTTCTCATGCTTTTAATTTGTCTTATTTTATATGTACTAATGATAAGGTTGTCTTCTCTGATTAAGGGAAAAATATTACATCAGCACTCCTAACGTAGAGCTACGTTCAGAGTCCACTGAAATGCGGACATGTGGAAATGACAAAAAAATAAAAAAAATATCATTTTAGCGCAGGAAAATATTTTTCCTGTGTTATTCCACATTATTCAAGTGTTATTGTGGTGTTATTCATGTGTTATTGTGTTTTGGGAATATTCTAGGTGTTATAATAACACAATAGCACATCAATACCACCACAATAACACCTAAATAACCCGGAAGGACACGGGAGGAATATTCTCTTGTGTTAACGAGCCGGATCACAGGAAAGCGCTTACGTTTCCTTAAAGTCACGTGTCTGCATATCAACAGACTTCGAACGTAGCTCTACGTTATGTATGCAATAGGATATTGCTTTGGTCGGTTATTGCTTTGATGTAATATTTTTCCCTGATGAAGGGTTGATTTTTGATCTAAGCAATAGGATATTGCTTTGGTCGGTTATGTATGCCATCAAATATGATCAATATAAATATAAAAAATCAGGTGTTACCTGTATAAGTAGGCAAGAATCGTGTGGCATGTTATGTAAATATTTATAAAATAAATAAATAGGAATATTCGCTGCCTTAAATTGACATTAAATGTGCAAAGAAAAGTGAAGGAAATAATAGATTTAAATCATTGAATGTGATAATGGAGGTTGAGAGCTATTCTGGAAAAGGATCCATTTGATGCCGCATTTCAGCCCTATGTTTTGGATTTCGTTAACGCCCAGAATTTCTTTTTGTTCAAAAATATATTTATATCGTTTAATAATTTCATTTTTATTTGTGTCCTTCATTATATTATTAGTGGTCTGAATAAAAGGTGATAATTATTATCCAAATACAATATATATATATATATATA